GCAGAGAGAAGCTACAGGCAAAAGAGCAAGAGGGTAAGAGAGAGAGGAGGGGCCAAGCAGCCCCTTTTATAGTGGGCAGGCCTACCTGGCTGTTGCCAGGTAACTGTGGGGAGAAGCATACCTGGCTGTTGCCAGATAACTGTGGAGGTGGAGTTTAGACAGAATACTAACATCCACCCCTTCGGGTAAAAAAAAAAAAAAAAAGTATATAAATTCTCCTTGCTGGCACTGGCCACCAAATGGGTCCAGACTCTCTTTCTGGTCAGAAGCAGCGGAGCTGGAGGCAGAGCTACACGTAGAGCAGGCAAAGGCGACTGGAACACGGGTGACAACACGCACTCAAGCCGCGCAGCCAGGGGCGCAGGTCAGATCCAGAAGGAGACTGGCTGCAGAAGTCTAGGAGGCAAAGGCAGAGCAGCCTTCGGCCACCCCAGTGGCACTCACAGGACCAGTCTTAACACTCGGACTTTGGTGAGAAGCAGGCACAGGGCTCCCAGGCCCTGAAGGTTCACGGGCGCTCTTGGTCCCCAGGGTCATCAGCATCTGGCTCCGACTCCTCAAGACGCTCTGTGAGTCCTGGGGCAGCTGTCATGGCCATGAGGAGGGTTGAGAGTTTTAGAGGCAGTATAGAGAAAGACAAAGAGGGAGATGGAGCCTTGGAGACACAATAATAGAACCTACAGAAGAGAAGGAACCAGCACCACGATGTCCTGGAAGCCATCCTAATTGGGGATTTCTTAGATAGATGATTAAATCATATGAAAGTGGGTTTGCCCCATCTAGACATGCAGCTTGTATTGATATCAACTGAGTTTTAAGTTCTTCGTGTGGGCGTCTTGTGGGTTGTAAATTTACTGTTTTAAATCTGTCTAATAAATTGCGAGCCTCCGAAGTATTCTTTATTCTGGTATTGGTGTTTAGAGCAAGTTGCGGCAGACTAGCTGCAGGGGATGGATGACCGGGAGAGCGAGAGTGCCCCCCCCCCACCTAACTGGGGGTAATTGGGCAGACTGCCACTTGGGGGTAGCCATGAGGCAGGAAGACTGCCGCAGTAGGAGAGTAGCTGGCGATAGCCTGGATTGTTTTTTTAATAATTACATGCTCCATGGATCACCTCTGGGCTTCAGTTACCAGCATTGAGCATGGCACAGTCCCTATGGCAGATCCTTGCCTGTGTTGAAAGAATTTTGAACTGTTCTTGGAAAAACTCCTTGAGATGGCAGAAACTTGTTTCCATGAATTTGTTCAACTGTGGAACCCCAAGTGCTTTTGATTGTGTTGTGTGTGTGTGTGAGAGTGTGTGTGTGTGTGTGTGTGTATCTCACCCATCTTCAGAGCTGGAGAGATGGCATGTAAGAGCACTGACTACTCTTCCAGAGGTCTTAAATTTAATTCCCAGTACCCACATGGTGGCTCATAACCATCGTTAATAGGATCTGATGCTCTCTTCTGGTGTGTCTGAAGATAGCTACAGTGTACTGACACTAAAAAAATCTAGTCTCTTTTAAAATCCAATTTTTCTATAAAACCTCCAATCTCATTTTTTAAAAGTTTAAAGTCTTGCCTGGCAGTGGTGGTGCATGTCTTTAATCTCAGTACTGGGATGAGAGAGGCAGGCAGATCTCTGAGTTCAAGGCCAGCCTGGCCTACAGACTAAGTTCCAGTGAAATCAAGAATGAGTTAAGTCCATCTTAAAGGAGGAAAAATGCATGCTGGAGAGGCTCAGAGGTTAAGACCACAGGCTGGTGTTCTAAAGAGCCTGAGTTCAAAGCATCTACAAGGTGCCTTACAACCCTGACCAAGCCAGCTAAGTCAGTCAACAGGTTCCCTGGCGCAGGAGTGAGGATTAAAAGAAGAGACGATTAGACAATTAGGGATGACCCCAGCCAGTTCTGAGGCTGAAGACTGAGGCAGGTTTATTTTTTCCCAATTTTTTTTTAAACCATTTTAATTACATGCAAGTATTTAGGCCAGTTCTAGGTTGAGGAACTGGCAGTACAATAGATGCAAATAGTCATGGAACAAACAAGGCAATAGACATAGTCCCTTGATCACTTCATGATCACTCTCATGATCACTGTTTCTAAAGGCTCATCAGGATGACAAAAATATCTGAGCCTACTACCCTGTCCTAGTCTACAGTCATATTCATGCCTGAGGCTTACTTCTTTTAGCCTAAAATTAGAAGCCTGCACTTACTTCCTTGTCATGGCCCAATCTCAGATTCCTGCCTAAAGCCCATTTCCTTGTCCTTGGCCAATGTCAGACATCTGTCAACTGGCCCCAAAAGCTCTTCACAGTTCTGTGTTTGGGTGTTCTTGGAAACCAATCACAATAGAAGTGGGTTAGAACTGCTTTGTAGAGCCACAATACACTTGGACCTGAACCACGGGCCTGGCTATACTTCCTGTACCTATGTATAAGCTTTTATGGTTTTTGCCTTTATAAAATGCCCCTGGGGTGGACCCCAACACAAAATAGACACCTGTACCAATATAAAAAGCCATTTGGAATAAGACTTCCATTTTGAGGCCGGGCTGTGGTGGCGCACGCCTTTAATCCCAGCACTTGGGAGGCAGAGGCAGGCGGATTTCTGAGTCCGAGGCCAGCCTGGTCTACAAAGTGAGTTCCAGGACAGCCAGGACTACACAGAGAGACCCTGTCTCGAAAAACCAAAAAAAAAAAAAAAAAAAAGACTTCCATTTTGATTAGGGGTTGTGTAACGTTTTAAGTTCCCAAGACCTCTCTGGAAATTGTCATCCTGTTTGGCAGAGAGTCATGTACATGGTTAACTGACATCCGGATTGACAAGTTAAGACATAAAGCCAGATCTCCCATGGAATGTAAAGTATGCACAGTCCTTTGACCTTGGGTATGTCTGTGGGTGGGTGTGTGTAACCAAATTAGGTGGTGTGATTCAATCTCAGAATTTGCACACAGGAGTGAAAAGTTCTGTTCTGTTTTGGTTTTGTTTTTGGTTTATTTTTTTTGTTCGGTTTGGTTTTCTGGTGTGGTATATCTGAAGACAGATACAGTGTACTCATATACATAAAATAAATAACTTAATAAAAAATTGCAGGGAGAGTTCAGCCACGCCCCTGGAACTGGGTGAGTGGGATCCACCCCTTCTGGTTTGTAAAAATATATAAAGTCTCGATGGTGGCGCTCAACACCAAATGGGTCCAGACTCTGTCTGTGGTCGGAAGCAGTAGAGTCGGAGGATCAGCCAAAGAGGACCGGAACACGAGGGAAGACGCGAACTCAAGCCGCGCAGCCAGGGGCGCAGGTCGGATCCAGAAGAAGATTGGCAGTCTAAGAGGCGAAGCTGGAGCAGCCTTCGGCCACCCCAGTGGCACTCACAGGACCAGTCTTCACACTCAGACTCTGGTGAGAAGCAGGCACAGGGCTCCCAGGCCCTGAAGGCTTCCAGGCTTTCTTTGTCGCGGGAGTCATCTGCATCTAACTCAGATTCCCCAAGAATCTCCCAGAGCCCCAGGGCTGCAGCCATGGCCACGAGCCTGCCGCAGAGCGCACAGGAACAATTGTGGCTTCGTGAGGAGCGCAAGCAGCAAGAAAAGCTGCTCAAGGCCTTGGAGACACCTGAGGAGAAGCGCACACGAAGACTGGCCAAGAAAGAAGCTAAAGAGCGCAAGAGGCGCCTGAAGATGGGTTGGGATGAGGATTACATGGGCTACAGCAATAGCGACAACCCTTTTGGAGACAACAACCTGCTGGACACCTTCATCTGGAGGAAGGCATTGGAGAAGAAAGACATCAGCCATCTGGGAGAGAAGCAGCTGAAGGAGCGCACCAAGAGGATCCAGGAGGAGAGCCGGCTAGAGCTGCAGAAGGTCAAACGGCTGCGGCAAGAGCGGGAACGGGAGAAAGCCCTGAGGGAGCACGAGCTGGAGTGGCTGCAGCGAGAGAAAGAGGCGGAGCACTTTAGGACCTGGGAGGAGCAGGAGCACAGCTTCCACTTGAGGCAGGCCAAGCTTCGCTCCAAGATCCGAATCCGGGATGGGCGGGCCAAGCCCATCGACCTGCTGGCCAAGTACATCAGCAGAGAAGACGACTTTGACCTGGCGGTGGAGATACACGAACCCTACACGTTTCTCAACGGCCTCACGGTGACAGACATGGAAGACCTGCTAGAGGACATCCAGGTGTTTATGGAACTGGAGCAGGGCAAGAACGTGGACTTCTGGAGGGACATGATGACCATCACAGAGGATGAGATCGCCAAGCTGCGCAAGCTGGAGGCCTCTGGCCAGGATCCAGGCGAACGCCGTGAGGGGGTCAACCCCTCGGTCAGCTCCGATGTGCAGTCGGTGTTCCAGGGAAAGACTTACAACCAGCTGCAGGGCATCTTTCAGGGTATAGAGGGCAAGATCCGTGCCGGCGGCCCCAACCTCGACATGGGCTACTGGGAGAGCCTGCTGCAGCAGTTGCGTGCACACATGGCCAAGGCCAGGCTGCGTGAGCGCCATCAACATCTTCTAAAACAGAAATTGATCCGACTGAAGCAGGGGCAGGGTGTGGAGAGCGAGTCGCGCTTCCCAATTCTCAAGTCAGAGCCCAGGGCCACCCACAGCCCCGAACCTGAGGAGCGACCCATCAGTCCCGGGACTTCAGTAGACCCAGTGGACCCCGTGGAACCCGAAGAGGACACAACAGCGGAAGAGGCAGGCAGCGAGGCAGTGCTGATGAAGGAGGACCTGATCGGGCAGAGTCTGTCCGACTACGACGCCGGCCGCTACAGCCCGCGGATGCTCAGAGCGCACGAGCTGCCTGTGGACGCGCATGTGCTGGAGCCGCACGAGGACCTGCAGCGCATGCAGCTGTCTCGCCAGCAACTTCAGGCTCCAGGGGATGCGAGCCAGAGCGCCGAGGACATCTTCTTCCGGCATGCGAGGGAGGGCATGGGGCAGGACGAGGCGCAGTTCAGCGTGGAGATGCCACTGGGTGGCCGCTCCTACCTGTGGGCCGACAAGTACCGGCCTCGCAAGCCGCGCTACTTCAACCGCGTGCACACGGGCTTCGAGTGGAACAGATACAACCGGACGCATTACGATGTGGACAACCCTCCGCCCAAGATCGTGCAGGGCTACAAATTTAACATCTTCTACCCGGACCTCATCATCCGGAAGCACGCCACGCCCGAGTACTTCCTGGAGGACTGCGCAGACAACCCGGACTTTGCCATCCTGCGCTTCCACGCGGGCCCGCCCTACGAGGACATCGCCTTCAAGATCGTCAGGCGCGAGTGGGATCACTCGCACCGCCATGGCTTCCGCTGCCAGTTCGCCAACGGAATCTTCCAGCTCTGGTTCCACTTCAAGCGCTACCACTACCGCCGCTGACGCCTGTGGGCTGCTGGCCCTGCACAGCTCCCGAGGCGAGGCCGAGAGGACCAGGAGGCCTTCTAAGAAGCCTTGGGGATCTGTAGACTGTGGATTGCTGACTGCACACACGTGAGCGCATGTGAAAAGTGTGAAAGAGAGCCTGTGACTGGGCAGTGGGAGACGAAGGCGGGCTGAGAGTCTTAGAGGTATGACCCACAGAGACTCCGGACAGAGTGGGAGACAGAGACTAGGAGCAAGACGGAACTTACAGAAGAGGAAGAGGAACCAGCACCACGATATCCTGGAAGCCATCGAATTGGGGATTTCCTGGATACATGATTAAATCATACGTAGGGTGGCTTTGCCCCATCTAGGTGTGCTGCTTGTGTTTATATCAGTTGAGTTTTAAAGTTCTTTGTGAGGGTATTTTGTGGGTTGAGAATTTACTGTTATAAATCTTATTGATAAATGCTTCTGGAGTTTTCTTTATACCCTGCTGACGGGTGTGGGGGGATAAGGGGGGGTTTAGAGCAAGGTGTGGTGAAGCGGTCAGCTCAGGAACTTTGGAAAATTCTACCAGACCCCTCCTGTCCTGGAAGAGAAAGACCATAGAACACTTAGGCACTCCTCCCCTCCGGACTGGAGAGGCTAATTAACATTCCTCGGAACACAGTGGGTTGGGACAGACCTGCAGATGGGGGAGGCCCAGAGCACGTGGACACAGACTGTTGTTCACCCACAGACAAGGGAATTCCTTGTCACCTCATTACCTAAAGACCAATCAGTTTAAAAGTCACACTATTCTTCCAATCATATTGTGCCTAGTTGCTGTGTCCCTGAAAACTGTATAAAGGCTCACTGAACGAGCTGTGTGGGGCCACCGCCTCTCCTCCGGGTGCAGGAAGACCCCATCGTGTTGGAACAATAAATTCCTTTTGCTTTTTACATAGATCCTCGGCTCTGCGTGGTTCACTCAGGGGCTTCTCAGTAAGCTAAGGACCACCAGAGTCTTACAGTGGCGGAGTTCCCACAGGGGACTGATGCTTGGGAAGGCGAGAGCGCCCCCCTCAGGTAACCGCTGGAAATTGTGTAGACTGCCACTTGGGGATAGCCATTGAGGCGGAAAGACCAAGGCGGCCCAAGAGTAGCCTGGATTTTTTTTTTTTTTTAATAATTACATGCTGCTTGGATCACCTCTGGACTTCAGTAACCAGCCTGTACCTGCCACAACCCCTCTGGCAGATCCCTTCCTGTTTTGAAAGGATTTTGAACTGTTCTTGGAAAGACTGTTTCAGGTGGCAGAAACTTCTTGTTTCCAGGGACTTGTTCAACCCTGGAACCCCATGTGCTTTTGATACATTTAACAGAAAGCTTACTCTAAAAACAACAAAACAACAACAACAAACAGTCTTGAGGACTGGGGAGAGGGCAGGTAAGAGCACTGACTGATCTTCCAGAGGTCTTAAATTTAATTCCCAGTACCCACAATGGTGGTTCATAACCATTGTTAATGGGATCTGAAGTTCTCTTCTGGTGTGTCTGAAGACAGCTACAATGTACTAACATTAAAAAAAAAAAAATCCAACCAACCAACCAAAAAACATCTGTTTTTATGGAATGCTTCTGGGGCTGCTTGGCAGGAATCTGACATTGGCCAAGGACAAGGAAATGGGCTTTAGGCTGGAATCTGACATTGGGCCATGACAGGGAAGTAAGTTCAGTCAGGAATCTAATTTTAGGCTAAGACAGGGAAGTAATTTTAGTCAGGTATATAAATCTTAGGCTAGAACAAAGAAGTAGGCCTCAGGCATTGAATATAAGTTTGGGCTAGGACAGGGAAGTAGGCTCAAATATTTTGGTCATCCTGATCAACCCTTAGAAATAGTGATCATGGGAGTGATCATGAGACTTTGCTTATTGCCTTGCTTGTTCTTTGACTATTTGTGTTTATTGTCTTGCTTGTTCCTTGACCATTTGTGCATCTATTGTATTGTTTGTGCCTCAACCTAGAACTGACCTCAATACTTGCATGTAATTAAAGTGGTTTAAAAGCAAATTGGGAAAAAGTAAACTCGCCTTCAGTCTCAGAACTGATCATGCTACAGTGTTGTCTAATCGTCTTTTTTCATTAATTCTCACTCCTGCGCTGGAGAACCTGTTGACTGACTAGGCTGGCCTGGTCATGTTTTTAAAAATCCAGTCTGTTTTAAAATCCAAATTCTGTATAAAACCCCAAATCTCATTTTTTAAATGTTTAAAGTCTTGCCTGGCAGTGGTGGTGCATATCTCACTGGAGCAAGAGAGAGCAGGCAGATCTCTGAGTTCAAGGCCAGCCTGGCCTACAGACTGAGTTCTAGCAAAGTCAAAAATGAGTTAAGTCTTATCTAAAAGAAGGAAAAAATCCAGGCTGGAGAGGCTCAGAGTTTAAGAGCACAGGCTGATGTTCTGAAGAACCTGAGTTCAAAGCATCGACATGGTGCCTTATAACTGCCTATAAGGAGATCTGATGCTTTTCCTTTGTTCTTTTGTGACAGGGTTTTCTGTGTACCCTTGCCTGTCCTGGTGGTCTGTAGACCAGGCTGGTCTTGAACTTATAGAGATCTGCCTGCCTGTGCCTCTCAAGTGCTGGGATTAAAGGTATGTGCCACTACTTCCCAGCCTGATACTTTCTATGTGCAAGCATATACGCAGGCAGAAGACTGTACACATAGTAATAATTTTTTTTTGGTTTTTCAAGACACGGTTTCTCTGTGTAGCCCTGGCTGTCCTGAAACTCACTCTGTAGACCAGGCTAGCCTCAAACTCATTAATCTGCCTGCTTCTGCCTCCCAAGTGCTGGGATTAAAGGTGTGCGCCACCACCGCCCAGCAAATAATTTTTTTAAAAAAAGGAAAAATCAGGATGCAGTCATAATAAAATCAACACAAAGTCAACTCCAACAGCCCAGTATCTAGGATCCACTCATAATCTTCTGGGCTCCTCAATGGAGTCTAAAGTCACTTTTCCAGACCTGCCCTCGGCAGCTTGTCTTGTAGGCTCTGGCTGACTCTGTTCCATTGCTGCTACTGCTGTTCTTGGTGGTCATCCCATGGTATTTGCATCTCTTCAACACTGTGGTCTTGTGCTGTAACTGGGGTGCACTTTCAACAGTAGCCTTTCTTAAGCACTCTTCTATGGTGCTAATCCTCAGCTTCTCTGTGTGACCCCTTCAGTCCTGGGCTTTCAGCTCCCACTGAGGCTGCACCTTCACCAATGGCCTCCTCTGTCCTCTCGTAATATCAAGTCTCAGCTTCTCTTCATCCTCCTTATGCTTGTAAAACTAGTACCGTCTGGGTAAGTCTTACACTAATGAATTCGGTGGCCAGCATGAGGTACAATCTCAGCCAGTTCTGTGTGAGAGGAACACCTCTTCTGTGTGCTGACCCTGAGGAAACACTCTCCAGAAGACTTCACCTCAGTGATGCTGGTCTCTTCTTATTCACTGCTAATTCCTTAGTTCCAGTTAACTAGCATCAACTATCCCAGTAGCACAAAGCTTTCCATTTAGTAGGCCTGGTCTCTTGATCACAGCTGACTCTTCACACCAAGCTGACCAGAATGACAGAATCTTAATTCAAAAGCAAACCACCCTGATAAGAGTCTTTAAACTTCTCTTTGAAACTTCCCAGGCCAGTCCTCCATCTTCTGCTCTCCACATTGTCTTCCAAACTCATAAACCATCCCACTGAGTTCTCAATACTCAATGGTTTTTCTAGCTCCAAATCCAAGTCCTTCCACAGTCTTCCAAAAACATGGTCAGGTCTTCACAGCAGTGCCCTAGTACCAACTTGGCTTAGTTAGGGATTCTATTGCTTCGACAAAACACCATGACCAAAAACCATGTTGAGGAGTTTATTGGGCTCACACTTCCACTTTGTAGTCCATGACTGAAGGAAGTCGGGACAGGAGGAACTCAAGCAGAGCAGGAACCCAGAGGCAGGAGCTGATGCAGAGGTCATGGAGGGGTGCTGCTTACTGGCTTGCTCCACATGGCTTGCTCAGCCTGCTTTCTTGTAGACCCAAGACCACCAGCCCATGGATGGCACCACCCACAGTGGGCTGGGCCCTCCTATATCAACACTAATTCAGAAAAGGCTCTACAGACTTGCCCACAACCCGATTTTTTTGGAGGCATTTTCTCAATTGCGGTTCCCTCCTCTTAGAAGACTACAACTTGTGTCAAGTTGACATAAAGCTAGCAAGCATGCCCTGCAACTAATTTCTGCTTCCTTCATAGGTTTGAATACTCTTGGCCCATAGGAAATAGCACTAGTAGGAGGTGTGGTCTTGTTGGAATAAGTGTGGTCTTGTTGGAGAAAGTGTGTCACTGTGTAGGCAGGCTTTGAGGTCTCCTAGTGCTCAAGTTCCCATCAGTGATGAAGAGACTCCTCTCCTAGCTGCCTGAGGTAAGACACTCTCCTCCTGGTTGCCTTCAGATCAAGATGTAGAAATCTCAGCTCCTCCAGCATCATGTTTGCCTGCATGTTACCATGCTTACCGCCATGATGATAATGGGCTGAGCCTCTGAAATTGTAAGCCAGCCCCAATTAAATGTTTTCCTTTATAAGAGTTGTCTTGGTCATGGTGTCTCTTCATAGCAATGGAAATCCTAACTAAGACAGTAGGTTTAGAAATGAGCAGGTAGTTAGCTCCTTAGGTAATTATCTAATTCAAACTCAGTACTCCTGCCTAGTGTGGTGGCATACATCCAAAAACCCAGTTAGCACTTGAGAAGAAGAGGCAAGAGGATTGCCATAAATCAAGGTTAGCCTGTGCTATACACAGGTATACACAGTTCTGTGGTAGCCTCTACCATAGAGTAAGATCCCCTCTCCCGCAAAATGTAAATCAGTCCAGTGAGATAACTCATGGTTAAGAGGACTGGCTGCTGTTTTTCTAGAGGGCCAGGTTCAATTCCTAGCATCTGCATGGTGGCTTATAACTCCAGTTCCAGAAGGTCTTGTTGAAGTAATTAAATA